GACACTCAGAATCATCCAGGCGAAAGATGCGACTCTTGTTTCTCAAACCACGTCTCCTTCAACTCGACGTCTTGGTAATTTTGGGCCTTGCGCAGGATACCAAAGGCGGCATCGGTTTGCTGGAGCTGGTTGTTAATACTAATAAGAGCTTCAACGGCGCTGGAATTCTGCTCTGCGTTGAACTCGAGCTCTTTGTAGTGCAAAGCCTTGGCAAACGCATGACACTTTCCAGCATACATGCCCAGAATACGGACATCGATGGGAAGGGCCTTGTCGTCGTGCTCCATGAATTCCGCCAAGTTCAGCAGCACTTGCAGAATCTCGGGCGGAATGTTGGGCGATGTCAGCGCTGTCTCAATGGAGCGAACCAGCTCCTCTTGGTATTGATCGTACAGCTCGGTCCAACAGGACACAAAGGCCGAATTGAACAGGCTTCGTGCAATGGGCTGATACACACTACCGAGAGGAGTACAAGCACGCAAGGCCTGCTGAGGAGACTCTCTAAGCAGCTCGACACTGAACCTTCGCATCCACTCAATCCAATCCTCTTTCGTGGTCTTGTTCGACGCTTCCCAGGCCTGCTTGAGATGCTGTTGATTGACAGCAAGTTTCTTCGTGAGAATTTCAGCAGGATTGAGATCTTCGTCATCCTCCCCATAGCGCTCGTCCGGGCTCAAATCTTGTGGCAGTGGCTCACCCTTTTGCAGCTTTGACACGATGCGACCATAGTTTTCATGGGGTACCTTGTGGGCAACCAAGATCTTATTGACAGTCGGCACAAAGTGGATATAGTCCGGTCCAAGTTGGAAAATCAGCGCACAGAGTGTTTCGAGCGCAGTCTGCTTCAAGCTAGGCTCGTTACCGGCCAGGACGCGGCAAAGTGGGTGCACGATTCGTGCCGCAAACTCGGAAACATTGACCTGTTTCGAGAGTCGGCCAAGCGTCTCTATCGCCAGCCTACGAATGTGTACAGGTTGTCCAGGCTTGTCGAACATGTTGACCATGACCGGGATGATGAGATGCATGTACTCCTCCGCACTCGACCCAAAGATAAGGAATGCATGAAGTACTCTCTCCGAAGGGAGACGCTTGCCGGTGTGGTCAGAGTCTAGGACGCTGAGCATGAGTGGAAGAACATCCGCCAGGTAAACCTTGAACTCTCCCTCCAGCGACCGAGCAATAGCTTCGATGAGGGAGAGAATGGTAGCTTGTAATTGTGGACTGCTACTCCAGTATTCTTTGATGGTCGCTAAGATGGTGGGCAGGTATGGTCGGATATGTTGGCGAACAATGCGAACGAGTGTACTAAGCTGGTTGAAGTAGCCTTCTGACCGACCAGCTGGTGTAGAGCGAATGACATGTAGGAATCCGGGGACGACCTGTGCAAGGAAGGGTACACATTTGAGACCCATGGTCGCATAGATGTTCATGACAGCTTCGACGATGGCGGTGTGGAATTGTATAAGGGACGGGTCCTTGAGTAGACCCATCAAAGTATTGATGACAATGGTTGGGTAATACTCCTCATTTGATGGAGTGATGCCTTGCATAATAAGCGATACATCTGTGACTGCTTGGGCTTCCATGATGAGATTCCGGTCGGGCGATTGCTCCATGATCTTCTGGTATTCGTCGGGGTCCAAGGCACCTAAGGTACCCATAAGCCTAACTGTCTCCCTCCGAAGTTCACCTTCAGGCTCAGTCTTCACAATGTTCATGAGAATGTTCATGAGCTCTGGGTACTCTCTATACGGCTCGATGACATAGCCAGCATTGGATGCGAGCTGTCCAAGAGCTTTGAGTGCAGAGAAGCGCTTTGCGTCTGAAGTAAGATCCTGCATGAATTCAAGAATGACGGGCATGAGTTCCGGGATGTACTTGATCATACCCTCCCCGCCGACTGTAGCAAGGTCGCCGATGGCCTTGAGCGTGGTAGAAGCGACTTCCGGATTTGGGTCTTTCGACTTGGGTAGAAGCACAGTGACAATGGGATCGATAAGTGGTTTGATGAGACTGTCTGCAGCCCCAACAAGGCTACTGATGAGCTTGGCACTCTCCTCTTTGCTTCGTGGACTGTTGGCGTAGTTGACCTCTGTGAGTAATTGTAGGAGAACCTTGCGCAACGAAGGAAAGACATAAGCCGGATTGACCGTTGTTAGACGTCCAATAATGGACATGGCAGCCTCTCGGATACCAAAGATTTCATCATTGAGCGCCAAGAACAGAGTGCGGACATTGTCAGCCTTCCCAAGATGCCTGTCGAATCTAGCATCCAGTGCTATTAGAACTTCCCATCGGATCTCCGGGTCAACATCTCCAACGCCAACAGTCAGTAGTTTCTCGATGATGTCGCCCACGACCTTGGTCGCATGGGTACTGGTCTGGTGCACAATGGGATCTTTGACGAAAAGTTGGCAGCAGGTCAAGGCGGCACGCTTCCGTATTTCAGGATTATCCGCCTCCACATATCGAATAGCTACATCGCGGACGAACTCGTTCAGAACATGGCCTGTAAAGTCGAAACTACCGAGCGTATGAAGAGCGAGGGCAATCTCAGCCTCTCGCGGGGCGATGGTCTGTGGGTCTTTGTGATCTCGTGTCCATATCTGGGGTGGCTGCGACACCTGATAGGGGCTGCCGAGGGGCAAGAAGTGTCGGCCGGCGAGGATCTGACTGAGCAAATCAAGCAACTTTTCTTGAATCATTGGTCGGGACGGAGGTACATAATGCGCCATATCGACAAGAGCTTGAAAGAGGGAGTCGCTCAATCCACACGAGAAAATGGGATCCAGAAGGCGTTCGACAGACTTGGTGAGTGCCTGACCAACAGCCGCTGCAATCATACTAAGACACTGGAACATGGGCGCTTCGTTGACCATGGACTTGTTGCGCGCTTTGGCGATGAGACCCTCTTGAATGAAGCCAAGTATGCCCTCGAGGTATGGCGAGATGGCTACCCCCACAGCATTCGCGATTCTACCGATTGCCACAAAGGCCTTGTCTCGGTCTCGGTCTTTGCGAATGAGGCCCTGGAGATGCAACATGCATTGGTGGAGATACTTGGTCGCAAATTCGGTAGGCGAATAGGCGGCCAGTATGGGGATGATGAGTACCACTTCGCGCCTGACGAGGGCATCACGATGATCTCTGTACTTGAGGACCGTCTCAACAGTATCCTTATACTTTTGATCGTTCAAGAACATTGTGCTCTTGTCCAACAGTTCCTTCATTGTCAGCAGCGAGCCGTGAATGGCTTCATTGGTGTTGATGGCAAAGCCACGCTGGATCTCGTCGTAGACCTTGCCGAACCACAGTTGTCGCATCTGCGAGTCGCGTGGTGATATAATCTCAAAGCAAGCGCTAATCGCCTCGGCGGCAGACTCTCTTATGAGCACCTTAGGATCACGGAGCGCTACCCAAATCACCTCGAAGATCTGTGCGATCCACTGGTACATGAGCGTGGGCGAGTTCTTAGCCAGTTCGCGCAGGATGAGCACAGCGGCAAAGCGTCTATTCTCCAGACGTTCGAGCTGCAGCCATTCGAGCGCACCCTTGACTTCTGCCTCGACCAGCTCGGCCGTGAGCGTGCCACCAGGTTTCGCGAGGCGCCCGAGTGCTTTGGCTGCCACGACCATGGCGGTGATGTCCTGGCCCCGCATTACCGCCCTAAGGTAGGATGCAAAACGCGTCGTCTTCTGGCCCGCATCGTCGCCACGGAAGTCGATGAGTGCGTTGAGCGCGTGAATGCCGCCGATGCGTTCGTTCGAGTCGCTGCCTGTGACGATGAGGCCCGAGATTTTGGTGTAGACTTCATTGTTGAAGTTGGTGAAGACATTGGGCGCGAGTTCTGCAGGGAGTCAGTCCTTAATTCTCAATCCCCCTCCCCCTCTTTCGTCTCCTCCAACCTCCAACCCTAACCAGAGATAGTGGCGGGGCTAGGCTGCGCGGTAGCTGGCTGCTCTCACCTCGATGCGCTGCCTCTACTGTCTGTCGCAGGGTATTGGCTGCTCGTTGTCTGGTTTCATCATTCCTGCACAGATGTTAGTCCTCCTCCCGAATAGGCATACAACGGTAGTGGTGTAGAAGCTTACTTTGACCGCAGCTCGTGGACTATGCGGTCCAGCTGGGCAGAGAGGGGACTCTGCTGCGCCATCTTGTCGGCTTCACCTGAAGCGTTCGACAGCTGGAGACGAGAGTTCTATTCCATCCATATGAGGGAGATGTAGCCGTTAATTTGTTTGTGGCGGGCAGGTAGGAATTGGGGCTTTCTAGAGTTGACGTTATGAGCTTGTCCCGACTCCCGACCCATGCTAATGCTAAGAAGGTCGTCTTAGGGTAGCGATGCGATGTCACGAGCTAAGGGCGTAGGTTCGCTAGTGGCCCGAGCTTGGGTCCCGCTCCCCATCCCCCTTCACCGAGAGCCCAATGAGGAAACAAGATTGGCAACGACAGGTGAGACTTGACCAGTGCCCTACACTGCCATGGCCCACGGTTCAACCGGCATAGTAAAGGTGATTGTATGTACAATCCGACAAAAGTAGCAATGCCAATCAAACAAGTCACACGCATGCAAGGGGGTCCTCTTCTCCGAACCTCTCTACCTAGAAACATGGCTGTCGTCCCTCATACCCATATGCATCCATGCTCCAATCAAAACAACAATATCAAAGACATTTCCCCTCGCCCTTTTCCAACACCTATCCACTGACCGAGCGCCAAACACGGGTACCACACCACACACACACACACACACACACACACACACACACACACACACTCACTCACTTTCAGCCATAGAGGCCCATGTGCGGTCAGGCATCACAATAATCCCAGTCGCCCTACTACAGCCAGCCCAGCCTTTACCCAATAACACCCTGCGCAACCTGGCCCACAAGGCCGCCAATCTGCCCAAAGAAAATGCTCTTGAGAATCGTGGTGCCCTCGCCCATGGTCCACATGCCCGCATCACTGAGCTTCTTGATCCAAAGCGCCTGTTCCTCCTTGCTAAGGTCATCCCACTTCTTGGCCTCCCCATGCTTCTCCAGCACGGTCTCATGGTCGTCGTGCACTTCTGCGCTCAACGTACCATCCGATTCGGCGTTGTGGCGGATGACAAGTGCTTTGCTTGCTGTCGACGGTACCGGAGCTTCTGCCTCTGGGTTCGAAAGGACGTGGGGAAGATGGACGTGGAGGAGGTCGGCGATACGTTGCGTCGTCTTTACGACGGGTGCGTTGGCCTTGTTGAGGATGGCTTCATGCCGCTTATCGCGGAGCGTTTCACCAAATGTCTTGTGTTGGGCGGCGGCGTTTTGAAGGCTTGCGGGAAGTATGCTCTTAGTCAGGTTTCCCTCTGGATCGATGAGTGATTGTATAAGGAGGGCAATGACAGCCACGACCATGGCTATCACTAGGTAGGTTGCAGCTGTAAACAGGTTCCTCGATCGCGCCGTCTGGAGAACATGGCGGGAGCCGTGAGATATCAGCGGGAAGGTCTCTACGGAAATGGTGTTGCCGAGTGAAGTGGTGGCCAGCCGTAGGTATTGTGGGACCTTTTTTGCCGAGGGATCCTGTGGATGGTAGGGAGAGAAGACAGCCTTTGTGATTTGTACGTCATGTACCTGCCAGCCGTCAATATCCTTCGACCAGGGGCAATACCGTCTCAACTTACATTTTCATAGCTGTTGAAGGCATGAAGCGAGCTCAATGAGTCTTTCGCCGGCCCATGATAGTCCATTGTGTACACATTCACGGAGATGTCTATCGCAGCTATGGCGATCGCAATCTGATAGGCACCATCTGCATCCTTGTCGAGCAAAGCAACGTCGAGATCGGTTGCTGCCTTGATATGTCTTGGTAAGCTTTTCCTCGCGATGATGCTTCCAGGCCCCTCCTCGTACAGATGCAGCACCAACAGCTCAACCCCCGTTCTGTTTGGCTTGTTGGTGAGAAGGAGAAGATGCGTAGGCGACAGCCATCGTACGCATCGCAATTTCGACCTTGGACCTGAGCCGAGAGACGGGATTGCGTACACCTTCCTGTGCAGATTTTTGCCCTTGGCTTTCCTCGCATTGAAGTCATAGTTGACATCCTGAACGAAGACTTCCTGGTCGACCACATACGTAACCCGAAACTTGCCTTCTTCTCGTGTAAAGATATCAATGTCGTTCGCCTCTTGGCCCTTGTGCAGCATGATACGTCCGATGATATCCTCCTTTTGTGGCTTGTTCGATGTCGCGCTGAAAATGACGACCTCATTCTCGTCGCCTGCAAGACTCGATGCGATTGCGCCAATCCGCCTGCTGGGTGATCCGGAAGCGCTTCTCTGCGCGGGTGATAGTTTCACTATGCGCTGGTATCCCTCCTTCTTGCCATTCGCTGTCTTGGGCGGTGCAAAGAGCGAAGCTTTGCTCAGGAAGCCTAGTGTGGCTTCCGACTTCTCGCCCTTGCCGCTTGAAGATGTGCTCTTTGGGAAAGACAATTCAAAGGCCCTGAAGTGTTCGTTTGCGCCTCGTAGTCTATCCTCCTCACTGCTGTTGATGCCAGCGTATAGTACCAGCCCGTCCCGTGTCGCTAGATTGGCCAGACATGTGACCGAATCATCAGTCGACGCTTCGATCTCGGCAAAGGATTCAACGGTTGGAGCTCGTGAGCTGAAGTCGAATGCGGTAATTTGGTTTTTGACTCCTACCGATTGAAGTCAAACGTCAGTCTATGCTCCCGAGATGCGATTGGCAAGTACTCACCATGTCGCCCTCCACCGCCGCCGCCGCCGACTACGAGAACGGCAGGGCGCGAGGTGGCAAAGTTGGCGGCAAAGATAGGATAGGAAGCTGTGCAAGTCAGCTAGAGCCTATACATTGGCTGTCGTAAAGCGTTGCGCACTCTTTGCCTTTGAGACGGTAGGGCGCGACATTGGGATTGTCGGCGGCGAAGTGTACGGTAATCAGCGGGAGCGCCGCCGGTGGAATCAACCTTGGAGGACTCGCAATTCAGAACAGATGTGTTCAAGTAGGTCTAGTGGATAGGGTCGCGTAGGTTAAGGAAGAATGCGGATTTGAACTGCGACGAGAATAGGTGACAGCCAAGGGCAGGGTTCGGAGATACCTTTTTGTCCACGTTGCGCGTGGCATAGATAGCCTGCAAGCCTCGCGCGGGCACTCGCGTCATCGGTTCCCGCGACCTTCTCGCCATGAACGCCGCCTATCGATAAGTAACTGTGACACAAGATCTTAGGTATGACATTTTTAGAAATCCACTTCACTGAAGCCTGCGTGGGGGGGTGGGGGGGGGCATCTAGGGCAATAAAGTTCAAGACGCTCGTCGCATTGATTCACTTGAAGACAAGATATCGAGGCAGATGCCAATGTCACCCCGTTCTTCACGGCGTCCTTCACGGCGGCTCGACTTTGAACTTGAAAACGACGCGTAGTAATTTCGATAGTAGGTAGGCCCATAATGGTTCTACCTCTCCCCTACAAGAAGAAAATGCTATCTACCGAGACCCTGGGTGTGCCGCCAGTCGTGGCCACCACCCAGCATGTGGTCGCCCACGACTTACCATGTCTGGCCGTGGATATCGTCCTCCTTTCGCGCATCAAACCTGGGCAATTCGTGTCGACAACAAGACCCCACCAACGCCGTACCAGCCCAGATCCCACCTCCCACTAGCAGTACCAACGGAACCCCCTCTCCACGCACCGTCTTCGTACGTGAAAAATCAAAACGCCAGGATGCTCGCTAATGCAAAGTTTTCGTCAAAAGAAAGGAAGCTATCTATATTGTAATCGTCATTCTGTATCCACGACAATGCTACTGTTGTGGTATCGGAAGCCCGTGGGAAGGGGATCGCCCAGACCAAGTGTCTAGCCTGCACGAC